AACTCTTTCAAATTGGCACTCTTAAACCCATAATTATTAACGAACGCTTTTTATGAGGGCCCGTTCTGGTCAAAATGGTGCATATAATTTTTAACTGTGCATAAATTAATTTTACACATTGGTAGAGTTAATATTTTGCATTTCTAAAATATTTTATTTAACCACCAAATTAATTTTACCATTCCTATTAATTATATTTTTAGAGGACGAATATTTTGTGTTTGTAATTAATTATGTGTGTGTTTGTAATTAATTTTGTGTGTGTTTGTAATTAATTTTGTGTGTGTTTGGAATTAATTTTGTATGTTTCTCAAAATCCCTTTACCCATAACACCTTGCGGTAGTTCTCTACCTGTGCTGCCAAACAAAGATGGCGACGGCCCCTTCGATTCCCGAGCAAGTGAAAGAAATTGTACAAGCTGCAATAGACAGTATTAATCAGCTAAGCTCATTAATTGAGCACGGACCGTTAAGAAATTGCACAAGCTGTAATAGACAGTATTAATCAGCTAAGCTCCTTAATTGAGCATGGACCGATAAGATTTTCTAGTAACAAACGTCAACTAACATCGGAGACGACTTTCGTTCGCCAAACCCAGCCAGCTAATAGCGCACTAACAGAATTGCAGAGGAGGTTTCCGACAGTTTCAAGAGGAAGATACAGAAGACCTAATTCTAACTCGCAGCCGTATCCAGTCCTTCAGAATGCAAGGCGTCCTGCTGGTCAACCGTTAGCATCTGAGATAGTTTCTAAGGATGTTATGATACTAGAAATGGGAAGAGAGAAAATACCGACGAAAGTAGAAAAGCCTGATTTAGAGAGAAGTGGACGAATTATATCCGGCGTTGACATTGATAGAAAGTGGGATGCCAAAAAACTTCACAAAGAGTTAGCGCAATTATTGACAGGTGAAATGGAGGGCTTGTATTTCGAAATAGTAAAGAAGTCTGGTGGTACTTTGCTAAGACCAAACATCCAGGCAGGAAAAGAGATGGATTCAAGCTGCTGCTAAAATCGGTTGCTCCATCTGGCTGGATCGATTTAAGACTCCTGGAGGAATTGCCATCCATGATTGATCCCAGTGATAAACAACTAGAAGTTCCTGTGTTTGAATTCCCTGAATCTGACATGCTCTCAAGTGATGCTAGTGGTAGAGACAACTTCTCTCGACATATGTCAGACACCATTGCTGATAACTCTAATACAAATGTAGGATCAGTGTTCTGTACAAGTAAGAGTCAGCCACCCTCGAGTTCATTTGATATCCAGTCAGTAATCAAAGGTGCTAAAGATCAGGGTTTGACTGACTCTGTAGAAGTGCTTAAATTTCTGCAAAAACAGATTGTAACTGGTCCAGCCCTAGAAATTACAAGCTGTGAAGAAACCATTGAGGGAGAAACAAATAAAATAATTACTCAAACTGAATGACGTTATTCATTTTATGTTGCTGTTAATAAAAGTAAATAACTAAATTAATGCAATAAATCAGTTCTGAGTTTTCTATGACTGATACTGTTATAATTTACGGATGAAAGCAATGATCTATCAAAATCAATTTAACAGAGCATCACCACTCAATTTTGTTGAAATCTATACCAGGGAAAGCCTGTGACTAGGGATAGTTAAACTTAATATTCCAATGATATAGATCGATTCTATCTATGATTTATAGATCTATCTATCTATGAACGATGTCGATAGCAATGAAAGGACAAAGATATTAACAAAGTGAAGCATAAGTATGATGCANTTATTTTGCTTTTTTCTCCATAAAGAAGGTCCACAGAACTTAAATCGTTCAATATTTTATATGGAATTTGTCTTAACCGCCATCTTTGTTTTCATCCGACTGCAATCCGCTGACCAATAAATGCGGAGCAAAATGTCCTCGATTTCTGGCGATGTAACGTCTCCCACCCATAACCCTGCATGAGACGGGGCCTACGGTTTATTCGTCCTTATCCGAGAAGACTAGAATATCTATCCATTTCTTGATTATAGAAAGGTACTACCAAATTCTCCTCACTTATTTTAAGACCACGAGTATCAGTCCGGCCGGGGCTCGAACCCTCTACCTCCCACACAACACAATCCGGCACTCTAACCAATTGAGCTAACCGGGAGGCGGTTCCTTGAAAGTGAGTGACCTGTTCACAACCAGAGCAAAAGTCATTCTTGTTTGATTGTGAAAACTTATGCTAGGGTTGTTCAAATATCATCCCTATTACTTTCAACAGTCCTTCCAAGCCCTAGCCTCACCCAAAAGATCTCATTATACTCTTGGTGAATGTAATGTTCACATAACTGAGTGCAGAACTAATTATCACTAGTTACCTTCCATGGACCAGTGGTAGACGGTGGTCTCAGTGACAAGAGCAAGAGTATTAACATTGATCCACTTCCAGAAAGTAACATCTTCTACCATTGTATGTGCCTTCATTTTGCTTTTCATCTCGATGTTAAAAATCTGGAGTGTTCTTCCCGCTAGAAAATAGACACCAAATTAAAAGAGATGTGAAGAACAATTTCAAGCAAACAACAAACAAAGGAAGGTCAACTAAGATGGTGACAAAGGGTTTAAACATGAAGTAGGGTTAAAGTTAATAGGTGATGTATTAATTTTACAGAAAAGCAAGCCCAGGTGAGATTTGAAGTGTTCCCTTCTAAATTTATGATATGTGAAAGTCTGTTTTAAGTGCACCTGACACATGAGTTTTTTTGAAAATTCATGAATGAAACTGGATTAGGACCCTTCCTTTGCCACCCTCAACTAAATAATATCAACAGGTAACTGGTCTCTTAATGCTTGACACCCTAACTTCAGAATACATTTTCTCCATACTGTCCTCCTCATATTTCTTAAGGTGCTGACAAGGAGAATTTGTTTCACAATCAAAGCTTCTTTAGTTGGTGATCATTCCCTTTATTCTTATGACCTTCATGTGTGATACAAGGGTGATGTTTGGAGAAATTAAATGTTAGTCACTCTTCAGGGTTTAAGGAGCAAAATGTTCTTACCTTTTAGAGCAATAACTTTTGATTTGGGATTCATAATAGCTGAGTCAGCAGAAATTGGTCTCCTTGTTGGATTGTTTGCATCACCTAGGTCAATGATAACCACTTGTGCTGTTTCTCCAACTTTTTCCCTAACACAAATAAATTTATCTGACTCCATGGTAAGGGTGGAGAAGCCAATGTTGGCAGCATTGATGCCAACACTTTGCAGCTGAAAAAAATTGAATAAATGTGTTTGGTGACAATTGCCAAAGAAAGGTACATTATTATAGAGACTAAGTTACACAAAATGTTACCATATCCCTATTAAAAGTACAGAAACCTCATGCTGTGTAGAAAACATCCTTTTACTAACTACGCAGACAAAGAAATGTTGCAGAAAAGATGCAGTTTTTTTTCTAGCCTCTATCTACCTACAATTTAAAAATTAGCACAAGAGACCGCATTATGTTGGACCTAAATAGAAAAAATAAACCGCAATTTAAAAATTAGCCCAAGAAGCTGCATTATGTTGGACCTAAATAGCAAAAATAAACCGCACACTTATAATAGTTTTTCAATATCGGGATCTGCATTTAGTATCTCCATTTTGGAACTTTTCAAAATTCTACATTCATCATCAAAAACAAAAGGTAGGGGGAAAAAAAAGACCATTAAATCAATTATACAATCATGTATACTTGAATTAATTAGTGAGGCATTAATCAAATAAATGTACAGTTATACAAGATAAATGACTGGCATCATAGTGGTACATCTTAATCATTCTTCAAAACAGAAAGTAAGGAGGACTGAATATCACAACAGCTCTGTCCTAACAGGTCTTGGATTTCACTGATAATCATAAAGTTTTGACAGAATTAAAGGTTCTCCTTAATTCTGAGATTTTGGACAAGAAACATTAGTGGTTGTCACATGTATCACCTGTCACCGTTTGACCTGCCTGACAGCCAAAATGTGGCTAGAGATGAAGGATTTTAACCCTTAAATAATGATGAGAATGAAAATTTGAACGCCCCTTAACAAAAATTGCAACAAGAAACGTTTACTAACAATTAAAAATTATCATATTAACATGACAAACAAAATCAAACCCAATTGCATGCAAACACATTCATGTTTTCAGGACCCTATCAACCAAATTCTAGCAGCTTTGCATTTAAGGTATCCTTTAGTTTTCAGTATGATGTACATTTTCTTCCAAATTGTGGTCAAGTTCGAAAATCTTTGTGCACAGCATGAAACACAACCCATTCAATTAACAGGAAGTACAAACTCTAGATAGCACAGGCCTTCTTGAATTACAGCTTGGGTTTAATTTTATCAAATTTTTGGTCACAAACTAAAGATTTTCAACAATTACTTGAATAGACAAGGTCCAGAACACAGTTATTTCCATCAACCGTGTAGCGAATATATATGTATGTTCACGCAATATCGTCACATTTTCCACAAAAAAAACGTACAACGATTAATAATACGTTTTTTATTTTTATTTTATAAAATTTGAACGCAGTACCTCGTTGAATGAACGTAATTTAGTAAATTTGCATTCTTCATTCAAGTTTAGTGACACGGCAATATTTGGTCATCTTTGCTATATTTCAGCGGACTAAAAGATCTTGTGAGCGGCTATTTGGCGAACACGAGAATACTGCTTCATCACTAATCCACATTTTGTCCTGTCCAGACTATATTCGCAACAAATAACGCATGTTTTATCAGACTCAATGGGCAAACTAGGTGCCGAGACGGCTGACATAAAGACCGTGAACTCGTCAGATGGGTAATCAAAATACGGGACATACCCACTTTCAAAAGAACTTCGAGGCGACAAGATCTCTTTAAATTATCAAAAAATCTACCCTGTTGCGTAATAGAAGATAGAGAAAGATAGAAAAATATAACAAAAAAAGTTTCACTATAATAATTCTTGGCACAAGTAGCCGTAAATGCACATGTAAAGAACTTGTTCCTGTTTCAGACACGAAAGCATCATTTGAACATTTACCACAAACCGAAAGCAATCGGCTACAATTTAGTAGGTAGCTTCCATACTGACGCAACCAAAAATAACAAAATAACGGCATCAAGTTTGAAAAGCTTCACTGCTGTTCGATGTAAACAGCGTGTGACAGAACCATGCGCTCAAAAGAGCGAAAGAATACTACATATATTGCATGGATCGAACTCGCTAACTAACCTGAAGATGTTCTTGAAACCTAATGGGTAATAGCTGCGCCATTTTCACTCAATTCATCCAATACACGTCCAACAAGAGTCAGGACTATTCGAAGGGGCCAGAAGGCACCTACAAAAAGAGAAATAAACGTAGAAATCGAGTTCCTAATCAGTGCTTGGTACAACCGAACATGGAGGACTCGTTGGCAGCCGGTGTGGTTATTGGAACGAGGCTTGAAGAGGGAGGTGCCACGTGAGAAAAATGGCGGACAGGGTCACGTGTTCAGTCTATACTTGTTCCTGAATCTTGTTTGAACTGAGAAAAAATTTTTCATTTTGGAACCCCATTTCTAATTCTTTTTCATCTTGGTTGAAAGTTTGCCTTGTGATACATAAAAAAATACCTTTCTGTCTAGGATGAAATCGATCTCAATTATTCAGGCTCGTCTGTGTGAGTGAGAGCAAGTCTTGAACCTCTCTATAACTCAGAATAGGAAGAAAAATGCATGATTTTCGCAGTTGGAACATTGCTTTGAAAAAAAAAATATGTTTCTAATTTCTTGTGACAATATATCAGGAAAATCGTAGTAGCAATGACTCATGGGAAGACTTCTTGAAGGAAACATACCTGTTCGAAATGAATCATGGGAATATTTGTCACGCGTGTGGTTTTCTTAGATTGAAGGTAATCGTACTCGCTGGGAAGTGAAAGATAGTGCAAGTTTAAAGCGCTTGAAACAGGTTTATACGGAAAGAGATAGTTCCATGGCTTAGACGATGAGCGGAAATGTCCTATGAACCACCAGTTCTTTCAAGGAAGCATGCCTCTACTGATGCAAAACCCCCCGAAAGTAACAGTCGTTTACAATCACGTCCTGGCTATGGAGAGAAGCCAGGCATGTATAATGCATATTTGCACTTCGTAAACAGGCTTAAAATCTGATGATTTTTGAAAAAATTGTCGTTTCAGTCTCCATAGTGTTGTAACGAGTTTTCTTTACCTCATTAGTGAATGGCGTGTCGAGACCACTGGGCCGATCCGAAGAGAATGTTCAGCGAGAGGATTTTAAACTTTTGATTGATCCCGCCATAAAGAAAGGACATGCTAAAATCTATAGATACAGTGGAGTCTTTCCAGGGGTAAGCCAAGCGACTGTACACGAAAATGGCTAGATCTTGCATCTTGTTGTTCACACTAGCGTTGAAGTTTTCTAAACTTGTTTTACTTCTTCTAGCAACCACCGGTTGTCCCAAAGGACCCTCGCTCTCGGAGGAAGAGAATATGGACTCACAACAAAGCCGATTTACCTGTCCCAAATTTCAAGGTTTGTTTAGGAGTCATTTTCCGAGAAAGATCTTCTAACAATGGTTTAGAGCATCTTTGTAATCAATTTACGACCAATTTACCGATATGGCATTATTGTTTTTGCCTGGCCAATTAAGCGATTGCCACTTCTAATTTTAGAACTTATTGTTTTTGGTGATTCCCTCTTGATTAGGTGGACAAATGGTATGTAGGAATTCCTCCGCAACGTGAAGTTCTGTTTTCGGGATTGAACGACAACGTCGACAAGAAATTTCTGCAGGAAATTTGCGAACGTTATGGACGAATCGAGGCCATCAAAATATACTATGATCCGCAAACAAAAAAACACACCGGAAAGGGTCGTGTGACTTTTGAAACCACAACCGCTGCTAAAATGGCAGTCTCAAAGCTGGACCATACTTCTGTCATGGGCAACATCATCAAGGCTCATGTAGAGATCGGCTTAAAAGGTAATCTACGGTAAACGATGAAGTCGTTTTATCTGACAAGGTTTATCTGCTGTAGAGTCGAGTGTTTGTTGATGTGTTACCATTAATTACTTAGAATGGTATTGTTTTCTGCTGACAGTTGTACATTTCAATCTATCGTTTTTCCCAAGTGCATGATGGGAGACTTCGTGACATTTTGGGCTGCCATGTTGGGTTTTGGATTTTGTAATGTCTTTGAAAGGGAGAACAGAGAGATTACCGATTTAACATAGACCTTTTTTGAGTAAGAAAGGTTTGAAATAGGATTGACCTTTGTCCCACGACCCCACAAGCTTTTTAGCTTGAATTCTTATTGAGTTTAAATAAAGATTCTATTCCCAATTCTATGGCTCAAGCAGTGACTGTAAGAATAAAAGACAAGGTCTTGGAATGTCTCAAAGCTGATAGATGAACTAAGATATGTCACATAAAATGTAACTGGTGATGTTGATTATTGTCAAAATTTTCTTTGCCTTTTCTCTTTCTTTTGGTCATGGTTCTGTTCTATTTCTCCTTTTTGCATTACATCATGTCATGGATAGTATTTAAAGTTAATTTTTGGCCCACTGAAATTTAGAATTTGTTACAATATTTAACTTAAGACATTTTTGTTTGTATTTCAAAATTATCCAATAGTTTGTTTGTTCCATGTCTAGAAGCCTCACAAATAAATACAGTCTTGTACTGTGATAGTTTTAGAACACAGGGGAAATTTCATGAGATAGACACGCGAGACGTAAAAACCTTGTTGGATGTAGAGCACACATTTTTGTTCATTTAAGAATTCTAATCAACTTTGAACTCTCATGTGTAACTGAGAGAGAACTTCTCTTTACAATATCAAATTGATGATAAGCAGACAAGTGATGAAAATATCTATAAGAGGATTAATAATAATAATAATAATAATAATAAACAATCTTTAAGGAGGAAGCGCCCGTCACATAAATACATGGTTTTCAGGGAGGTCCTCCGTAAAAATAAAAAGTATTAAAAGCTGAAATAAGAAATATTATTAGTTGATCTAAGAGCACATCCTCCCAACTAACAATTATATGGCAGACAGTTAAGATAATTACTAATGAGAGGTGAGCAGTAATTTGAATGTGTTCAATATAAAGCAGTGAGGTTCAGGATAGTTTTACATCAATTTGATCAACTTCTTTAAGTTGTGGATTATTCAGGCTGTAGTCTTTGAACTGTGAATGATTTTCAAGCATAGTACTTGAAACCAAAAAAATGATTTGAAGTTATCTGTCTTAATTTTAAAGATGCAATTAGGGGAATTTAACCTTTAACATATGTATATTTAACAATTATTCCACGAGCGCGTGTTGGATATGAGATGATAGATAGCCAACGAAGCGCGTAGCGCTGAGTTGGCTATAATCATCTCATATCCAACGCGCGCTCGTGGAATAATTGTTAATTATCCACTGTTAACTTGATATTTCAAGCATTAGCCCTTCCTTTGCTTTGATGAAGTGCTACTGCTTGAAACTACAGCTTCAAAATCTCTTTAATGTGGCTAATTCACATTAATAATCAGTTGCTGCTGCAAATTTAAGATCCAATTTACCTGCATGGCCACAGGAAAGTCATTCTGTGCCTCGGGTGGAAAAAGTACTTCTACTGCCTTCTTGACAAAAGGCTGGTTTCCTGTTGGTGGGGTTCCAACTTCAATGACATGCAGCTGTTGGTAAGATAAAAGACAAGCATAAGTACGGTAGCTACCATGGTACATTGCTGGTTTATCTTGATTTTAATTCATTTTCAATTCTGCTGTCCTCACGCTATATTTTCAGTTCCAGTTACTTTACAAGACTACGCCAACATCTGGCTGATATATCAGCTTTTATACCAACTCCCACAACATGAATGTTTCTCTGCATCAAGACACGAAAGGCTCTGCAAATTGTTTAAATTGTTGGCAAAAAAGACTGCAACAGGCTTTCTTAAAATTAATGACCAACTGACCCCTCTCTTCAATGAGATTTTTAGGACCAGAGCAAACAAGGAATGAAAAAAAAAATTTCAGTCAAAACATTTTTGTCAAAAATCTCTATAAGGAAGAGGAAATCCAGTTGGCACAAAACAGGTTGCATCCCAGGAGATAAATTAAAAAAATACCAGGGAACCATCCACATTACAAGTTCTATGCCCTGCTCACTTAGCCATGCTGCCTTCACTTGTTCTGTTTCTTACCGCTCTACATTAAACTGCAAGAAAGTTACTTTGTACAATATACCAAACATTTTACCATCAGCCCTTCAGAGAGCAATGCAAAGTTTCATGCACAAGATGCGCCATCAATCGAAAGATGGTAATAGTATATTCCTCATGAGAGCTTGGCTGTATTGATAATACTATGACTTGTAAATATATCTCTCTTACCTTTCCTCCTTGGGCTCCTCTTACAGCAAAGGTGAACAGAGTAGATTCCTGGGCATTGCCTTCCATTTTAAACTGCATGAAAGCTGCAGCATGGCCCTCAATTGGCTGACTAACTTTTCGCTCTGTGGAGTACAGTTGCATTGCACCAACAACTCGGTTTTGCTAAAAAAAAAGAAAAAAAAATCAAACAACACCATGAAGTAGAAATTTTCATTCAAGTTTAACCCCTTAACTCCTAAGATTTGATTATTATTCTCTCCTCCACATTTTCTACCTGATAAGTTTGAATATCCTCATTACCTGTTTGCTAGATAATGTATAGATATTATAGAGAGAAGTTACATGTTAATCACTAGTGGGAGTTACAGGGTTAACTACAGTAGGATCAACATGGCTACAACACTAGAAATGGCTACTTACCTAGATTGCCTAAACCTAAAACGGAATGCAGAAAGAGGGTGTCCTCCTTCCGTTTTATAAATGACTGGATGTCCCTCCCAGTATTTTTAAGAAGGCCAATGCCATGCACAATTTTTAAGGAAAACCTTGCAAGATTCTTAATGGATAAATACTTTAAATGATGGATAAAACTTTAGATATACGCCGTTTTAGATCTGTGACAATTGTATTTCTTATTTTAGCTTTTAATACTTTTTATTTTTACGGAGGACCTCCCTGAAAACCACGTATTTACGTGACGGG